ACATTGGATAAGGCTCAATTCATTAAGCCTTCTGTTTATTTTTGAAAGGTCACAAAAAATATCAGTTAAAGCCAAAGTATAGTTTTGGTAATTAAAACCATAAAAAAATTTAAAATTGGTGTTATTAATCGAGCTTCCTGCCTTGTGAATTATTTTCTCCAAAACCGTCAATTTAATAATACAGTAATAATAATAATAATAATAATAGATGGATTTATATAGCGCAGATAAACGAGGTCTCTATGCGCTCGGGACTAAATGTTGCACTTTTCATAACTTTCTCCTCCCCTGAGGGTCACTACTGTGTTCTTTTAAGTGCACATGAGCATTTGTGTACACTGGGCCTATGATTTCAGTCCTTATCCGAGAAGACTTGTTCCACCACTAGAACTATAGGAGCGAGCCAGCTGCGAACCTGTGCCGATATTGTTGGCTATGATCACGGTGCCCCTGCCTTAACCGCTCGGCCATTTAGCTCGGCCATTTTTTGTACAATTAGCAAAAAATGTAAAATCTTGGGATGTCCCCGAGATTTTTACCATAGGTCTGTGTACTAGTTACCAGTAATTGTTCATTGCTGACTGACAATTTGCATTAACAGTGACTTTATGTGTGTTTGATTTTATCTTGAGTGAATTAAAAATCATAATGGTACTGGGTTTGGTCTACAGGAGTTCACGCTTCGAACAGAAACAGAAACAAATATTTTTCCGCCCTTGATTTTTCAAGATATTTAATGAGAACATTAACTTTCATTGAATTAGCTTTTTGAATGGTTTTTTTTGTGTTTTTTTTTTGTCTCTTATTTTAGAGTTCTTGGCAGTCAGCCATCAAAAATCATTTCAAGAATATCATGAAAACTGAACGAGTTGCTGCTGGAAATGGAACTGGAGGTGCAGCAGTGGTAAAACCAGAGATAAAAAGAAAATGCGAGGTAGTAGAAATAGACAAATGTCAAAGTTGATTTACCAAAATTATGCATTAATCAGCAACCTACAGTATGGTTTCCAGCGGAGAAATATCTTAGAAAATCCTGGAGGGATATCCCGCACTCCAGTTGGTGTCAGAGGTATGTACATTGTACTAAGGTAGGGCGATTCCATATGAGGCGTACGAGACATTCAGAAACTGTTTTGCAGCCTGATTAATATTTAATATTCAGAAGAAAAATATTTTATCACAATATGTATGTTGTACAATAAGTAACAACACATGATTGCCATTTTAGGTGCTCGGAAATAGCACTCAAGTTCTTAATTTCGTTATTTTATTTGCATTCACTTTGCTGAGGGCAGAGACCGTGCCTCCGAAATCCTGTCCGCCAATTTGTTAATTTTGTTTTTCAGGTGTGCAACAGTGGTGTGCAAACACATGCTTCGATGACGTCAGATCACCCAAAGTTTCATAGTGCAAGACACAAGGAACAAGCTCAGTGCAAGATGATGATGACTTAACTAAACAAATTAATTTAAACATATCAAGAAACCTTAATGGGGTTTTTTTTAGAAATAAATCTAACAAATTTAAATTTCATTCTCTACAAATTTCCTCCATAATAAGGGGTGGCGGAAGCATTGATTGGTACGGTGTAGGGTTAGAAAATTTTGTAAAATTTACACGTCTAGATGCTCGGAAATAGCACTTAAGTTTTTAAAACGCCAGGATACTGAAAAGAATCACCCTTGTGGAAGGTTTAACTTTTTGTTTAACATACTGTTGTGTCATTTTAATCAATTTATTATAATCTCCATGGCATGACATCACAGTTCTTTTTCACGGCATCTGGTAGACCTGCTTGTTGTTTTGTTCAGGGTTTAACTGATCGTCTCGTTTAAGAAATTGATTTTTGTGTTTATACTGAATATTACGTACGGAATTTAGGAGAGTTTCGGATTTTCGGAATACAATACATGAGTTATTTTAAGTAGTATAATAACCATGTTTTAAATAACGAAATCACCAAAGAAATATCGTTTTAGCGTTCTGTCTTAGCATGGGAATGATATTTTTAGCATGTCAAGTGCGGGCAATGATCAGAATGTTTGCTTCAAAGCCCATGCATGTCCATACGCATGCCCAGAACGATCTATCTGGGATTTTCCCTTGAACTTGACAGTGTCTGTAAATCTGTACTGAACATGTGGTGAAAATAGGGTCGCTTAGTGAGGTGATATCGTCGCTGCTCGCGATAACTTAAGAAGAGCCAAGCCTAGCCTAGACGAAGATTTGTTTACAGTATATAAAGTATCTCAATTCGCTGTTGGCGAATTTGCGAATGGCTAGCGTGAGCGTAGTCTGTACGCCACGGTATGTGGCATGTGGGGACATAATTAATAGACTAATTTCTTGGAAATTAATTTATAAAAATATCCATAAATTTGCTCTAGCATTATTTATAGACTAAAAGTAGAGGATCTAAAGTTAAAAGTTGTTATCTTTTTAAATTTGGTTTTAGGACTAACTTTTAGACGTCTGCATGGCGTACGGGAAACAACGAAAAGTCAAAATCTAAAAAAACTTAATTTACTCCGCAATAAGTTATCGCGAGCAGCAATATCACCTCACTAAGCGACTATTTTCATTATTAATTAATTATTTTAATTAATTTGTTTAATTAAGTCATCACCATCTTGCACTGAGCTTGTTCCTTGTGTCATGCACTATGAAACTTTGGGTGATATGACGTCATCGAAGCATGTGTTTGCACACCACTGTTGCACCCCTGAAAAACAAAATTAACAAATTGGCGGACAGGGTTTCGGAGGCGCGGTCTCTGCCCTCAGCAAAGTGAATGCAAAAAAAATAACAAAATTAAGAACTTGAGTGCTATTTCCGAGCACCTAGACATATAAATTGTACAAAATGTTCTAACCTCAGCCCAATCATGGAGGGGCAGAGCTTATTAGAGACTGTCACGCCGTATAAACGGCAGCGGAAGCAGGGGGTGGGGCCAATTGGCCAACCCACTTTTTCTACTGGGGGCCTGGGGCCCCCTTTTGTGACTGCTCCCAGCCTTTTGTGACTGTTCCCAGCACCAGTGACAAACATTTTACGAATGCTGCAGTGTTATTATTATTATTATTATTACTATTATTATTGTTATTGTTATTGTTATTGTTATTATTATTATTATTATCATCATTATTATTATTTGGTGCTTAAACTCCTTGTTTATTTGCACCTTATAAATTGACCTATTATTATCAATATATAGATTTTTTTTTTCATTTTCTAACGAGCATTACAAGTTCCCTTTTTGAATTGAGCAACCAAATGTTGATTGATCTTACACATCTAGATGTGTATAAGAGACAGGTGCAACTCCAGTAAAGTTGATGAGGTGGGTGGACATTTTATTTGCGCAAAACCCTCCCTGGGTCCCCTCTATTTCGACTTCCTGGACCAGCCACAATTGGAGTATCATTTCTGGGCTACATAGAAGGGTAATTTTATCCATCGAAGGACAAGTGAAGTTGTCGGGGAACCCATTTTAAGGATAACCCTTATGATAAATAATTCATTGAGATCATGAAAGCAATCTCGACATCGACTTTGTTCGGAAATATGTGATGCATTCAAGGGGGCAGGGGCTAAATTGTTCAATTTTTTTTAATGGTGATATAAGCAAAATTATATTCAAATTTTAAGACTGAGAGTGTAATTTCCCATCATCTAAAGGTGCCATAATCACAAATTTTCTTACCTCAGCCCCAACCATGGTGGTATAGATCCTCCATCTGCTAAAGTACCCAGTGGCGAAACCAAGGTGACCCAGCCCGCCCGCCCCCACCGCTAAATTGTTCATACAAAAATAGTGATATAAAGATAATTATATTCAAAAGTTCATAAGCGTAAACCCTGTAATTTTCTTACCTCAGCCCCAACCTTAGTGGGGCTGAGGTAGTATAGATTTTCTATCTGTGAAAGTACCCTTCCGGGGCCCTTCTATTTCGTATTCCTGGATCCGCCACTGGAAATTACAACAAATAAGTGATATTACAGTAGCTTGATGCCTATAAAATAACTTGGCATAACAATACCACACATAAGGCTAATTCAAGTTAGATGGCTTAAACCAGCCAGATTCCTAACAGTTATAAGTCCTTGGAATAATGACATAATCAACTTGACCCTTAGTGTAGTGGCATCAAAAACATCACAAACCTACCCAGCTTTGAAAGTGAAGAGCTCATATAGATGGTATTTGTTTACATTTGCAATGAAAGTTGTTACATAATAAAAAAAAAAAATCTTGTTATTGCCATGCCCATAAATCCCATACATGGTCCATGTAAATAATTTGCTTGTGTTTTTTTTTTTGTTTTTTTCAGTTTAAAATCTGTATCTGTTATTTGTTAATTTTTTGTTATTAATTTTATTTTCATTTAGGAGAATGAATCCATTGACGAAATTATCCAGAAGTTGATTTTTCCACGGCTGAGGTCAGGCAACCTCAAAGAAGTCATCCCACTCTACTTCGCTGCCGAGGGGAGGATAATAATAATAATAATATGCAAGTTTTTATTTAGCGCTCTATACAAGTAAGTCTCAGAGCGCTGAGAAGAATTGCGAAGGCCACTGGCTCTAGCCCTTCTACTGGGCACCTTCTATGTTTTTAACATTCAGTTTCATAATAAAGCAAAGAACTATATCTTCCTAGAATCCAAGATATTTGAAAAGATGAAGGAAGCCAACAAACATGTCATTACACTGTTTGTGACTTTCTAGTTGGAAAATAAGAGTTTATAACCTCATTCATTTTGAAGGGGTATTTCTCTCGCTAATCTGCCATTATAGGCATGGTTTATACGTGTAAAGATAAAAGAATAATGTATTTTATGAAAAAAAATAAAGGAATGATTATTTATAGAATTTTTGTGTGGTCTTTATTGATTTGTGGTCTATTGAAATTATTTCCAAGGAGTCAATTTAACCCCAAAAATGGAGTTAAATCTAACTCCAAAAGTGGAGATAATAAAAAAGGTACAGAACGACTCCTTTTCTGGAGTAATATTTACTCTTGTATTTTTACTCCCCAAAGGGAGTAATATTAACCCCAAAAAGGGGGTTGGAATCACCCTCTTTTTGGAGTTAATGTTACTCCCTTTGGGGAGTAAAAATATGAGAGTAAATATTACTCCAGAAAAGGAGTCGTTCTGTACCTTTTTTATTAACTCCACTTTTGGAGTTAAATTGACTCCTTGAAATTAACAGTGTAAAAAACATAATTTCTCAGCCAGTAGGCCACCTAGGCCTACGATACCTGAAGTACACGTTACGCTCACCTTCCTTGTATGCAGGTCAAACAGTTAATATTTAAAAAGCTGACACTCTAGATGTATTGTTTGATTGGTATTTTAAAATGGAATATGGACTCGTCATCGCGCATATTTGCAAAATATTAAAAAAAATAAAATAAAATTTGTCGCGATGTACATTCGTCATTCCTGTATAAAATTAAGGCAGTATGGCATGACGTTGAGAGATCACTATAAGAACGCGATGCAGGAGAAGTGGATGTGTACTTACACAATAGCTAGCATGCGCAAAACAATTTACTTATCGTAATTAGTTGTAACTTGTTTATCAGTTGATTATGTAATAGAAAACGGCGGTATCGCGGGGTTATAGCTTTTGATGTTCGGTTCGAGATGTTTTCATGTAATTTCACTGCTTTCTGTTTTATCAATTATAAATATTATTTACATGCTCTTCAAATTTTAAATTACTATCAACAAGTACAATATCAATGACAAATCACAACAACTTTATTTCTTATTCGAGAACATTATTTCTCATGTGAACATAGAAAATAATCGGTCAACTTACACTGCATGACTAATAAAGTTAACAATAACAATAATAAGGCTAAGTAAAAACAATAATTATTATAGCCAAACAAACACGATATCTTGTGAATAAATTGAGCAATTTTTGACAGCTGTTTTTTGATCTGGTATTAAATAATTAGTGCACTATATCTAGTGTAATTATATTTTTTAATACATTCTTAATTAGTGTAGGGCAAACCAATAAATAATGGAATTATTTCCGGTATTATTTTGGTTACACAGAGTACAATTTGTAGCTTGATCATCACAACTACAAAGATCAGATACGAGATCACACTTAAAAGGATCTATGATTTTCACACTTTCTATTAATTTTGTGTTAACTTCGTGCAGCCATTCCTGTTTTGAGATATCACTCAATCGGAGATTAATATGCCTACTATTTGCTATCAACTTTTTAATGAAGTTATCCAAGTTATCATAGTCATATAGTGTCTTTTATTTTACAATCCATTAGGACATTTATAAACCCTGGTCTTGTAAAAAGCCTCGATTTAGTTTTTGGAATCCCCAGACTTCAAAACCATATACTAATTATAGGCAAAACAAGCTGGTCAAACCATAGAGAAAATAGAACTGTTCTTTTTTCTCTATGGTCAAACAGTTCACACTGAATACTTAACGGTAGACTTAATTGTATATTGAGTTATCATGCTGTACATTGCTCTGTGTTACTTGCTTATCAATGGCTTTTTAAATTTTTCCATTAAAATTAAATGTTGTACCTAAATAGACATAATCATCTATAATTTCAATTTTTTTTTATCTCAAAACATAAAAATTGGAGTATTTTGAACCCTACCATGGAACCCTGGAAAACATTATAATTATTGACTGTGAGCTTCCACATGTCGCAGTAATCATACTTAATACGTTCTAGAGTTCTGAGTGACTTTCGGACATAATAATTGTATCATCTGCATACAATAGCACATATAGTCTGAGGAACTCTTCTACATCACGATTAACAAAAAAATTCGAAGTTATTAAGAAAAATAGCAAATAAAAGCGGAGATAAATTTTTCCTTGGTGCACTCCAACATTACATGAGAAAAATTCGGATATCACACCAATCTGTTTGAAACATGACTTCGTGTTATAAAAGACATTAATGACTTTACCATTTATACCACATAATATTAGTTTACTCTATAGAGATAATCGGTCAACCAGGTCAAACACTAAGTTGTAATCGATAAAAGTGCAATACAACTGCTTATGTTTCTTTAAGTATATTTCAAGTATGGAACGGAGTACAGACATATTATCATTAGTGGAGGAAATTTCCCTAAATCCTACTTGTTCTTCACCAAGTATACCTACACCAACATTATATTCTATTGTTTACACAATGGACATTTCTGCAATGTCACCCAATCTTACCAACTGACCAATTAGGGCCAGGAATACGAACGTGCTTACAAACACGACGTTGTCCAATAAATGCACGTGTTTTTGCATGTTCCACGTTGTCGTTTTGTTGAACCTTATGTGCCGGAGCATAGCATTCTAATCTAAGATGTGTTATGTTTTGCAAAATAATTCTATTTTCACGATTATATTAAACAAAATCACATTTTCAATTTACAAAAAACTTCAATTAAATCTACATTAAAATACATTCATTCAAACCGTTAGTATGTTGAATAAAATACATATTATTAAGAATAAAATTATCCATTTATCGCTTTAATGCATATATAAATAGCATTATATAAAAAAGTAGGCCTATAAATTAATAGAAGAGGGCATATGTATACTTTATATTCCTCACAATTAACAAGAAAATTTCAAATTACAGTACAAATAAATTAGTTTACACCATCTCCAATTAGTGAGGGAGGAAGAGCACAGTAAACAATAGATTTGATTATACAGTTTCCAGCACAAAATCTGCTCACAAAATTGTGTATATATTTTATCCAGTCTTCATAGCATGAAGGGATGTTATTGAATAAAGTTACAGGCTCCAACATTAAATAAATATTAGTAGTTCTTTTTTAATGACCCAAAGGTAATTATGACTAAGTATTTCTGATAGAGCCTCACTAAAGTAATTTATATAGTCATAGAGGAACCGTTTACGCAATAAATATGTCCTAAACATTTAATTTCTGCGGAACACTTTGAAGATGTCCTACATAAAGCGTTAGCTCTGACTAAGAAAGTCCTATACTTTTGCTTAATACCAAAATCATCCAGTACAAATTACAAACACGAACCACTTTATGAGATCCAATAAAA